GGTGTCGTGGGCTGAGTCGAATCCGCAACTGAAGGAGCAGCAGATAGAGTTGGAGTCTGGGGTTCTGATTGTTCTTGCACAGTCCGTTCAACCCGCTTCCCTTCATCTAGCTTCACTCCCTGTTCAATTAGTTGCGGTTCCTTCGAAGGCAGCTCGACCGAGACAGATGAAGACTGTAAATTGAGACCCTTTCGACGTCTGTGAGGGGTTCTGGCAGGGAAAGGATGATCGGGTACCGATAGCCAAGGCAGCTGGTGTCTTTTGGTCAGCAAATATATCCGACACAGGAAATCAGGCACGGTCAAAACACTTACCGGAGCACGGAAAGGCTCACTCGGAGCAGGGGCGGCGGGTATCACAGGCGCTGGAGCAGATGGCGAAGACACAACTGGACTGGGTGTGAAATGAACCGGAATACTCGCAGGGGACTGAGCCTGCATATTTAATGGGACAGGCGCCAGTCCGACCGGCGGAGACATGGCAGATTGAAGAGGAGTCGCGGCCCTAGGCTGCATGGCAAGCGATGGGGGTGGCATGTGAGATGGAGCCATGACAGGCTGCGAATGAGGGTACGAAGACACAATCATTGGCGCATATGGAGGCTGAAATGGTCGTGGAGGAGGCTGCATCTGAGGATACGCTGGATACCAATGACCATATTGTTGTGGCGAGTAAGCAGGAGGCGGATGGCCGTTCATATGAGGGTGATAACCCATATATGCGGGCGGAGAGCGCATGTTGGGTGGCCCTCCAGCATAAGGCAGGTCTTGTTGTCGTCGAGGAGGCGGCATGGGTGGCTGCCCATGGGGCACTGCGGGCAGATGATGGTTCATCATGTCCAGGCACGTCGGAAAGTTGCCTCGACTTGTTCAGCCACGCGTTGCCTCAATGGGAGCCATAAGAATCACGAAGCAAGATGGACCAGATTATGAAGCAGCAGACCCGTCTATACGGCCATCGCAAGCTCGAAGGCAAAAAAAACGGGAACTGTAAATGCGGGGGTCTGTTTGCTCGATGTCTCGTTTTCGTGTCCCTAATGAAGCTGAATGGGAACTGTCAATTCAGGTCACGCAGACATCGTAGGATCAACGATCTGAGACACGTACCTAGGAGGGAGACACTTTAACGTCAGTAAAGTGATGAATGAGACGCGGTAAAAGTAGTATGCCACAAAGAGGCGCAAATCGCAACGGAAGAAGGCAAGGAGGCCGAACGATGGAGAGGCCGATTTGGAGCTGAGATGAGATGCTGTTTTTTGGGCGGGCGGCACGTGCCTGAGGCTCCCGATGGCTGCCAAGACATGACATACTCGCCCCTCCTCCTCCTCATTCTTCATCTTTCTCCCTCGACAGGAGAGGGATCAGGACTTTGGTGCTTCTCCTCTCCCCGTGTTACCCTTGGGGGCTCTGATTGGTGTCATCATATGCTGAGTGCATGTGTTATGATCTGTGTTAGCATCGAGGGTTGATCTCTCTCGTGCTGTGGCTCAATCCTGGCCATCCCATCCTCTTCCCCTCAGACACTACTTCCTATCCGCTCTCCCCGCCATAGGAAGGCAGGACGCACCATCATCGTCGAATCTGGGTTAAGAGATGTCGTCCAATCCTGGTCAAGTGCCCAATTCTTCAAAAATCGTGAATATCCCAAGCCAGTCCGTTTCCGCGGCATTTCACTCAGCTCCCTCGGTCGATAGTGGCTCTCAGAGGCGGCCCGGGGGCTCTGGGAGTTTCGGAGCAGGATTGGCAGCGAGGAATTCGAGTTCCCCAAGAAATAACCAGGCTCTCAAGAGTCATCACAAGCGACAGAGGCGTCCTCGGTTACTGGATGATGACGAGTACAGCGAAACTGTATGTGCTTCAAAGCAGTCATTCTTTTTTCAGATCTTTTGATCGGAAAACTAAGATTTGATATTCTTATGCTCAGGCCGTCATGAGATCGACAACGAGTCGTAAAGGACAAACGTCCATCACGCATTTGATGAACTTTTCCCTACCTCCACGCCCGCAATACCAACCCCCACCGCGCAACAGCCGTCGATATGCTTCTTGGGGATTAGGCTCGGGTTACCATGCTATGGATAAAGCTCGCTATGTACACGCAAATTACCGGTTTATTGTGAATCCCACTCGAAGTTATCATGCGCAGGCGGCGAATGCCGATGTTCATCTGGATTGGGATTCGGTCTTACAGGTTCTGGCCTCGGCGCAAACCCAATCTACAAGCTGCCCCATCTGTTTGTCTACGCCAGTTGCACCTCGGATGGCTCGGTGTGGTCATATATTCTGCCTACCGTGCCTGATTCGCTATATGCACTCTACTGACGATGACACTTCTGTTCCTGAGAAGAAGGCTCGCTGGAAGAAGTGTCCAATCTGTTGGGACTCGATTTACATTTCAGAGACCCGACCAGTGCGTTGGTTTCGTGGGCAAGAAGGAGATATCCCTGTCGAAGGCGGTGATGTGGTGCTGCGACTGGTGAAGCGAGTTCCGGGTAGCACCCTTGCGCTACCGCGCGATGGCGCTGAGAGTCTCAAACCCGGCGAGGATGTTCCGTGGTACCATGCAGCCGAGGTAGCTGACTACGCTCGAATTATGAAAGGTGGCGAAGATTACATGAGCGCTCAATATGACACTGAAGTGGACGATCTTCGAAGGCAGGAAGTTGAGGATGAGCTTTTATTTGGTGACGATACTACCTGGACCAAAAAGGCCATTGCCGTCATCAACGATGCCAAAGCAAAAATTAAGGGGATTGGAAATCCGCCCGATGTTGAGCGACAACCTATTATGGACAAGCCACTCGGGGAAGCTGTCCCGGGGCAGTCACCACCGGATGCTATTCAAACGGGGGAAACCTTGTCAGCTGTGTCCGTCTCATCGTTAGGTGTTGGCGCTGGCGATACGACTACTCCGGCTACGACCGGTGAAATGGACAGTGTGTCAGAAGCTGTGGCCAATGTTCAGTTGAACTCGACTTCGGAAGCGAAGTCAACACGGAAAGATGCTGGGCAAAGCCGAAACCCTCATGCAGGCGATCGAACTCGGGAAAGCAATGGACCTCACCCACCCGACCATGCATTCTACTTCTACCAGGCACTTCCTCAATTCTACCTGTCTCCCTTGGATATTCGTATACTGAAGGCTGCCTTTGGAGATTACGCTACCTTTCCAGCGACAATTCTTCCCCGCGTCGAGCGTATCTCAAGCGGACATATCGTTGACGATGAGCTTCGAAAACGCGTCAAGTATTTAGGCCATCTTCCGCAAGGATGTGAGGTAAACTTCCTCGAATGCGATTGGAGAGATGTGGTCGTGCCAGAAATATTGGAGCGTTTCAGCGCTGAGACTGGGAAAAGAAGGAAACGCAACAAGGAGAAAGAAGCACGCGAAGAGAAGGATCGGCTCCGCGCGGAGAAGGAAGAGGAGGAAAAACGCTGGGCTGCCGCACGCCGTAGGAGACCCAGCATTGGCATCAGTGATCCACCGTTTTCGGATCAAGATTTCCAGCCGTTGTCTAATGACCCCACGGCTACCGGCTTTCCACCCTTCGATGCTGGCTCGTCCTCCGCATCACCACCTCGGCCATCCTCACAGTTTGGTGCCCTAGCCTCACCGTCGACTACTCCTCCCGGAGCTCGTACTGTCTGGGGAACTACCGCCGTACCATCACTCTCGGAGTCGTCAGAATTTCCCTCGGGACCCGTTCGCCACGACGGCTGGCGCGAGGACTGGGAAGAAGAATTACTGGCTCATCAGGAAAGGCAGTTGTTGGCTCAGACGAGTCTGGAAGGAAGCCAACCTTCTTCTGCTGGTGGTGGCGGACGCAAGAAGAAGAATAAGAAGATCACGCTCATGTCAACCAACATTCAGAGAGGAGCATGAATACCTGTCATTGTATAGCGGCACATTCACCTCGTCTTCTTTCATCCTTCCTGCTCATTGTTCTCTCTTCAAATTTTAAGGTCTTTCTTACTCTTGGTGTTTTTGGAAGGGAACCATTGTTTTGGTGAGTGCAGGTGGTCTTACGGGCGTGTATCTCTCTCTTGTTGAAGGAGCATGGCGTGGAGTTCAACGGTTTGAAGATCTCAACAATCTCGGAAATATACAATCGCCCTGCTGAAATATATGCCGAATAGACATGTGAATTTTTCGATTGCCTGAAGTGACTGTTTCGGCTGAGCACTACGCGTGAATCTAAGATGGAGCAGTACACTTGTCGCCCAAAGATTGATAGAATCTCTGATTGCCGCGTATTTTTCTACATATTTGATCATTCTCCACGAGCTACATCTATCTAGGCTGTGAATATGTCTACCACCGCTAAGTACTTTCATTACTAACCTAGGATGGTGTGGAATGCACCAGTCCGGTCATAAAGCCTCGATGGACTCGATGCTCTCAGGACATATAACATAAAGGCATATTGAGCAGGTAGCAGCTTGGTTTTTCATTCAATTTCTTGTATGAATTTATCGAGTGACATTTTACTGCAACTCATCTAATCATCTGGAAGCAACATTATTGCCACCTTTGTATCCGTGGGAATAGCAATGGACGATCTCATCTCCATTCTCCTCCCCAGTTGTTTTGGTATCTAGTTAGTCTTGGTCGCAATCTAACCAAGTAAATAATTGTTGTTTCCACCCCCCCAAAAAAACATTCTCCCTCTTTCTCTCTCTTCCTCCTCAACCTTCTCGGTTCTTGCTCTACACTAGATAAAAACTACTCAATTGCTTGCCTCTTAACTGAGGCCATTGCATGAAAGTAGAAATCATGACCGTCACCCGCTCCCAAACAGGGAAAACCCCTAGGTAAGTGGTTTGTTCCCTGTGCGACGCACGGAGAGAGCGCAAAAAAAAAAAGGAAACCAAAACCACCTTTTTGCGACAACAAACTTGCTGGCTTCCCTGATCGCTCATTGATTGTGCTTCTTCCTCCTTTCGCAAGACACATCGTCGCGAGTTCACCAATCTAATTGATTTTTTTCTTCGAGTAGGAAAATGGAACGTCCTGGCTTCATTGAGACCCCTGGCCGACGAGTCACTCGCAGCAGCGCCGCTCTAGCATCGGAGACCAGTGCGGACGATGTGTCCGATTCAGCGACCGAATTCCGCGGGCGATCCAAGTCTACTACCCGGAGACGTCCTTCTTCGAAGGTGAAGACCGAGGATGCGTCCGAAGGGGAAGAGTCGAAGTTGAGATCGGTTGCGACCAACGGACATGCCAATGGACACGCCAACGGTTCAACGGAGAAGAAGCCAAGAATCATTGACGGCTGGGTTGAGGGCGAGGATCCTAAGATTGACTACAGCGGAGAGTTCGAGTTTGGAGGGTCCTGGGGAGTGCTGTCCATGATGATTGGGTTCCCCCTGCTGATGTACTACATGTGGATTGGTGCCGTCTATTATGATGGCAAGTTTCCCCGTCCTTCGGAAGGCCAGAGCATGTCCGAATTTTTCGCGCACCTGGGCCAACTGGTCTATGACGGCGCTTACCCTTCGCTCCGAGCTTGGACCATCTACTGGGTATTCTTCGTCTTCGAGGGTCTATGCTACGTCCTTCTCCCTGGTGTGACTGTCATGGGCCGTGCTCTGCCGCACCTCGGAGGAAAGCAGCTCCCCTACTACTGTTCCGGCGTTTGGTCTTTCTACACGAGCATTGCTCTTGCTGGTGTGCTTCATTTTACTGGAGTTTTCAAGTTGTACACTGTCATCGACGAGTTCGGACCACTTCTGAGCGTCGCCATCATCTCCGGCTTCCTGGTGTCCTTCGTCGCCTACTTCTCGGCGTTGGCTCGTGGCGCGCAACATCGCATGACAGGGTATCCTATCTACGATTTCTTCATGGGCGCGGAGCTCAATCCTAGGATGTTCGGTATTCTTGATTTTAAGATGTTCTTCGAGGTTCGCCTTCCTTGGTTCATCCTCTTCTTCCTCACTCTGGGTGCTGCAGCTCGGCAGTACGAGGTCTATGGCTATGTTTCCGGAGAAGTTGGGTTCCTCCTCATGGCGCACTTCTTGTACGCTAATGCTTGCTGCAAAGGCGAAGAGTGTATCGTGTCGACCTGGTAAGCTTTCACTCATGTCATGCTCCTGATTAAGGATAGCCCTAAAAACCAGAGACTAATTCGTCTTAGGGACATGTATTATGAAAAGTGGGGTTTCATGCTCATCTTCTGGAACTTGGCCGGTGTGCCCTTGAGTTACTGCCACTGCACAATCTACCTTGCCAGCCATGACCCCGCTACTTACCGTTGGAACCGCGTCTTCCTGGTGTTCCTGTATGCAGCATATCTATTTGTTTACTGGGTTTGGGATACAACCAACAGCCAGAAGAACCGTTTCCGGCAGCAGGAACGTGGTACCATGGTCTCTCGGAAGACATTCCCTCAGCTCCCATGGCAGACTATCAAGAATCCCAAGACCATCACTGCCGCAGATGGGTCCAAGATCCTCGTTGATGGATGGTGTAAGTGATTAGTTTCTTCAAAAGAGAACCCAGACAAGCATGCTGACTTTCGGCACAGATGGCAAAGCTCGTAAGATCCACTACACATGCGATCTTTATTTTGCCTTGAACTGGGGCTTGATTACTGGCTTCAGCAGCCCATTTCCCTGGTTCTACCCCATCTTCTTCGCATGCATGATCACTCACCGTGCCCTGCGTGACATCCAGCGCTGCCGGAATAAGTACGGCGAAGCCTGGGTGGAGTACGAGCGACAGGTTCCTTATCTGTTCATCCCTGTAAGCTATTTCTCATCTTGAAGTTCGACGAACAGACTGACTGACTTGGGTCTCTAGTATGTATTCTAAGGGAAGACTGAGCGTTTCGACAACTTTCGCTCGCGCCTCACAGGGGGCTCCTAGAGACACCACAACAATACTCGAAAACCCACTCATCACGTACAGGACTTGGTATATGCTATAATAATATGCATTGGGTCTTGGGCCTGGAAGAGCAATATTACCGACTCACCTGCATCTGCTCCTTACTTCACAGCAGGAGCCTTTATATTCTTGGTGTCCACCGGCAGTTCACTTCGATTCATGTACATTATTAGATTGGCTACTACCGGTAATCACTTAATTTCCTTTTTGTCACTTTTCTCTTCTCCTTCTGTTTTCATGAAAGTTACCCCTGTCCTTTGATAAAGAGGTTTATGACCCTAGCGAGATTCTATCGCTTGAATGATAATGTATAAATGCTGTGAAATCTAGAAGACAGCGAATACTTAGTATCTCTGCATCTGTATCCAGGTCCCTTGAAGCCAGGATACATCATATTAATCACATGACCTGTCTTCATCCCTCCATCACAGCTTATCGATAGAGCCATTGAACCCCCACCATGTCGTGTCGCATGAAAGTCAATAATAACTGACTGACAGGTGGCATTGATCCTATTGATTGTGTCCACTGTTCAATTGAGTGTAGGTTAAGATCATACAGAGTCAGATCAGCACATTAATTACCACTTGTTCCGCTGCCACACGTCATGTTGATCCAGGAATGTTTCCACGATGTGCCCACCAAGGCGGATGGAAATGGTACTATGCGTATGTAACCGAAAGACTCCAAGACTCCAAGACTCCAAGACTCCAATCAGACTTATCTGCTTATCTCAAATTAATCAGGTATCTACGTGTTCCATCCCACTATTCCTGGATACCCCAAGGCTCGATTCCCTGGTGTAGTAGTTTTCAGTGAGATCTACCAAGGCACGTACTCAGTTTCGTGGGACTGGCGATGCCGGAACTGACTGTAGCCAGTGACTGGACCTGTCTCGCGGTTCGCGAGACAGATTGCCAGCCAGGGGTACATCTGTGCTGCCCCGTCCAGCTATCACGAATTCACCGGTCCGGAGCCACTGCAATACAATGCCGAAGATACCGACAAGGGAAACCAGTGGAAAGCCAGCAAGGTATGCACCCACAAGGACCGACAATGATCGAGTGCTGCTAACCGAGATGTAGAAAATAGCTGCTTATGACGAGGACGCCTCGTTGTGCGTTGACTACTTGCTCTCCCTGCCTACTTGTAACGGCCGGGTAGGCACAACGGGTATGTGTCTGGGTGGACATCTTGCGTACCGCTGTGCGTTGGACAGCCGCATCAAGGCGGCTGTGTGCTACTTTGCGACGGACATCCACAGCAAGACCCTCGGGGAGGGCAAGAATGACGACAGTCTGGCTAGAGCGGGCGATATCAAGGGTGAACTTCTTATGGTGAGTTGATTTCGTCTAGTTGCAATATGCGTTTTGCTCTTTGATGCTCTGCGATCTGGATGGTACCTAGTTGATAGCTGACTGATAATGCTTTAGATTTTTGGGAAGAACGATAACCATGTCCCGCCGGAGGGTAGAGACCTGATCCGCAAGACCCTGCATGAAAAGGGCGTCCTGTTCAGCTTCTACGAGGTTGCATGGGCTCAACGTATGTTAGATTATGATGCACTTGCTGTTGATAATCATTTCCAAGATTGTACTAACGGAGAACCCGGAACAGATGCATTCATTCGAGATGAGCTCAGCAAGGGACGGTATGACCCCGCTATTACCAAGGTATGCTTTGAGATGCTGCTCGAGTTGTTCGGACGGACATTGAAACTGGACCTGGGCGAACACGATGGTAAGAAACTAGAGATCGAGGATGTATGCTAGATTTCTCTCAATGCGCCGATCGAAGTACACCCCATATGAAAATGTTCCGGGCCTGCAGCTGTCTACGGCTGTCACCCACAATGATACCTCTATGTCGATGTGTTCGGCGTTTCAGACTCCCCGCAATCTGTGCCGAGTTGAAGACCAGACAGTTAGAAACAAACGGCCCGCTTGCTATCATACTCTATAGAGGTGGAGTTTCAGAGTAGTTGCGTATATGGATCTTTGAACGAGAATAAGTGGGAGAATGTCAACTAAGCGCAACACAGCATAACACTGGCAGTGGGGAATGGAAATCCTCAGCCCATCCATAAGAATTGATCCAGAGTGTGGTCAGCCATGACCCGGTATTTCTGAATCTATACACAGTATACTCAACTCTGAAACATCTGCAATGGGCAGTTCCGGAGATTGTACGGTGTTTTACTAATCCATACCTACCTGGAACCTGGTCTACGGAGAAGCGCAGCTTGAATCATCCAAAGTTTACTCCGTATTGAGTTGGCATTCACAATCGATAGCGATACCTCAGGCAAGGTATGACATGTTGATCGCTGCCCTACACATAGGAACTAAATAGACTGACAATTATCAGTATTATATGTCATCAAAAAGCAAGGAGCAGCTATCTATTCCGCACTCCATACTCCGTACTCCATCAAGAGAGAGAGAAGGTGGGAAATCGGGTGGCTGATGAGTTGTACAACTTGTAAGACAGTCTCTTGTAAGGTAATCAGTCAGTTACAGTATTTGGGCAGACCTCAACCCTTAGGTTCCATCCATATTCTGGCGGAGTTTTGGTATTACCTATGGTCTCGTATGGGTACCTAAGGTAGTGTACAGGTATGTGTATTGGAACCAGACGAATAGGATCCACAGGCGGCTGGTGAGGACATGTCGATTGAGAGACAACTACAGATTCAGAGTAGCATTCATGGACTTGATACCGTTTTGGTAGACCTAGCTCTGACTGTACTTCTACTCCTAGTTTCAACTCTTGCGCGATTGAACTGACTGTACATTGTGCATGACAAGCGGAATCCTGTGTTGTATGAAGTCAGGAACAGCAGTTAGATAGTTGCAGGCAACAAGAATAGAAAACCGGGGAAAACAGCCACAATCCATGGACGGAGATGCAAGACTTGCTTGGTACAATCCAAGCACAGCTCGGCCAACCATGGTCGAAGGACGATATGTAGTTGTCTATTATTATCAAGGTACCTTGATTACCAGATTCTGGCAGGAGAAACATCTCCAGCCTCGAAGAATCATACCAAGGTCTAGGATCATGGAAGGAGTATCAAAGTTTTCGCCATATTTTGTAGTCTGCGCTCATATTAATCCAAGACCCCAGCCTGCACAATTATTGCTCTGTCTTGAGTGTTTGGTCCCTGCGTCGAAAGTCAAAACTTCGGCGAGAAAATCGTCTATTTGGTCTCTTTTAGATTGCACTATATTGGTTCAAAGACTGTTTCTTGTTTTGCGCACTGAATACATCTAGCCTCCGATTTATCTCCTCTACTCCGTACTCTGTACCATTCTACATAGCTCGTCGACATTAATTGTCCTGGTGGTGTTGTCGCTCTAAGCCCCCTCGTGTCCAAGTCAAACTGTACAGCCATCTCTTCATCTTCAGTTCCACTTCCTTTCTTCGACATATTACCTACTCGCATACGGAATACATTCTTGCATAATCTGCGATCGTTCACATTCAGTTGCATTGCCCTCGTGGATGACAACAACCGACGCTTTTGAGCTGCAATTGACTGTCACGATCTGCCCACCACCATTTTCAGCGATTAATTCTCCTCGCTTTTGCCAGCGGATACCAACGCAAATTTGTGCTTTTATTCTTGCTCTTGCAGAGAAATAATTGACACAACCATCAGCATCATCGTCCCACGTTTACTGCCTTGTTTCAACTTTGCGACGGAGCCATTGTGAACGGTCTGGTCCCTTGGCGTGGGTCCCAGGAAAAAGGAAGCCAATTTAATTACCAGCAAGACCACCCATCGAGCCGCGCCAATCTTGTCCACGATCACCCAAGTCTTTTTGCATGGTCAGTCGCTTCAACGGTCGGTGAATCATGGGCTCTACTCAATTTGGGAATTTCAACGTGAGTGTGCCGCCGGAATGAATACGTCTATTGTGAGAGATCTTGTGCGAAAGGGGAGTTAACCAGTGAGGGTCTTCGCGAACAGGACTTTTGCAGAGATTCGACCTTGCCAGTTTGCAATGTGAGTTGGTCAATTTCATTCTCAGGCTGTTTCCCATGTAGGAATGTTGTGACCATAGGACTGTACCTTGCTGACTGCGATTGTTTCCTCGATAGCTCTTTGTCGCCGACAATCAACCCCCTAATGAAGCCTACGGCGGCTGTGCCCTCACCGGTATCGACCTTGGCAATCATCGATATCTTAGCAACTTAGGTACGGAATGGCGGCTAGAGCGCCAGGGAGACGAGTCGCAAATTGCGAGACTGATATCGATATAGGATCGATACTGCTGGCATTCATATCCATCCTAGTATCACTCTTCCTATTATGGCGATCGGAACGGAAACAGGCCGCGGTTGGGCGAAGGTACGCGGCTAAGCATGCGACTGTGAAAGGCATGGACAAGAGCTGACAATGAAATACCGGATAGGGAGATGCAATTGTTTCTACTTGGCTTCATTATCGTCGAGATCTGCGAGATCTTCTCCGTGGGCGGTTTCCCTCTTGACAACGCGGTTCGAAAGGTATGTTTTGTCTGTTCTGGTTGACGCCTTGCTTCTCTTTGGACGCAACTGAGGGTCTTGCATAGGGGTTTTCTGCAGCTCACATCGCTGCGATCACCGCAACTTGTTGGATCCTCTTCTTGAACTCGCTTGTCGGGTTTCAGTTACTTGACGACGGTACACCTGCCTCCCTTGGTCTCTGTCTTGCTTCTGCCTTGGTGTTCTTCGTTGGTACGGGTTATATCGCCCTAGATACTGCTTTCGACTGGACCGGAGAGTTCGCGACGGACGCATCTGATCACTATCGAAATATCGCCCTCTACGTACTGTACCAGCTCTTCCCCCTCGTCCTCCTCGTGGCATTCTACGTTCTGGAAGCTGTCTTGGTGATCCGGGTCCTGGGCGAGTTCCGGCCAATGTGTATGTTCAGCCTGTTCTCTTCCAGAACCGGGGAGACTCCAATCTAATATGAGCTAAGCAAACTGACGTGATATGCAGTGTATCTGTCCGCCGCGGGTCTGTTGTTCGCCATTGGCCAAATCTTCAACTACGTGATCAGCACCCATCTCTGCCAGGCGTCGCACGGGAAAATTAATGGCGCCTTATTCGAGACATTGTTCACCCTCTTGTCGGTCGTTACGGTCTGGATCTTTTGGAGCAGTATAACGGAAGACGACTGGCCCATGCCGGTGGGTGTAGGCGCAGGCTACAACTAATCTGCGACTGTCATTGTAACACACGCTCAATTTGATCCCATCGACTGCCGACCCTGTTCAGCGATAATAATGCTCTTACCGTTCCAGACGAGGAAGGATCCTTGATCCTCGCACTCGCCTTTCTGTCCTCGTCTGACCTCTCCTCGTTTTCACGCCTGGACTGCTGTTTTGATACCACTTCCTGTTCTCAACTTTCATGTTTCACGATTTCTCTGATGCTACCAGTGACTACGACTTGTATTATCCCCCTAACGATGTGATCAGCTTGATGTGAGACGGGCATGTGATCACGTTTGCATATTATTCATCCTCTTCTTTACTGTCAGATACCTATTTGTCCTGTAGCTAGCCCCTAGCATATGTTTATAATCAATCTCTGCACATTGAAATGTTAGCCTCTGTCCACATGATCCGGCTCAACACAAAGTCTGTCTTCTGTCGTCGATCAGCAAATCTGCCATCTAAGTATTATTGCTTTTCGCAAGTACACTGTGGTTGTTGGTTCGAAGCATGAACTCTAATATTATCAAGTATGTACGGTAATTTCTGTACAACGATCATAAGAACGAGATCAAACCAAGAACAGACCACAAGTTGCATCCGGACGGCAGTCGACAACTTGGTCAGGTCAAATAATGCAAGCCCAATCAATGCTCTATGAACCTTCCCGTGCATGCAAAACGATACCCGCCACTTCAGCCTCCTCTGGTTATGCTCGAACTTTGGATCCGAAAAAAAAAGAAGAAAAAAAAACATCAAAGCCGAACCTTGACATCTACACAGGGAAGAGTCCACTCCCGTCGTCCCAGCAAACTCCGCAACCATTCGAGTCCAACACCGGTCCACTCCTGCTGTCCCAGTTCACTGGATCCGTTGAGCGCAAGTCGACGCTGCGCCTCCTCAACCGCCGCGCCCGCCAGCGCCTTGGTGGTCGTATTGACGGTCTCTACGACATAGCTGGCCAGAGACCCGTTCTGTGCGGCCAGGGAGGTATTGGCCGAGACGGCATCGTAGGGGGTTGAAGCTGCGTATCGCGGCGAGAACCAGTCACCGCGGAAGTCGAAGAAGCAGCGGTCGGCCCAGTGGCAGGAGGAGATGAAGAGGATGAGTAGCAGCGCGGAGCAGTAGATGCATGGTCGGTGGAGGATGTATGTGAGGGTGACGAAGGAGATGATGAAGAGCGGGGAGGCGTTGGTTGGGATGAAGAGGAGCGGTAACCAGCTATATGTGATCGCGTGAGCGGCCTTGGAAGTTGGCATGATATTCAGATGTTGGGGGCGACTTACCTCCTGAGACAGAACATGGTGGGGGTCTATATGCTGAAAGGATTGTAGCACACTTCTGGTGACAGTGACACACGTATACTTTTGAAGAGTCTCTTCAACTAATAGAGAGCAAGACTGACGTAGAGGGATACAAGATCACTCTGGACAGTCAAGAAAAGAAGATAAGACGCCAGGAGACGGTGGAGACAAGGAGATTAGATGCAGATAGTGGAAAATAATCGCCCCTCAGACAGCTGAGATACAAGCAAATTCCTCGTCCATCGTGGCTAAATCTGCCTCTGATTATTCTTTCAGACTGAGGATTTTCAGCGTCATCGCTGAATTCCCTCCAATAAGAGAGATATTACCGTACTGTAACATCAGTTGACAGTACTGTAACCATCCTCAGCCCCAACTGCACCAGCCACATACTGTCACTAGCCACTTACCTAACCGGACTTAGTGCCACTTCGGCCTCCATCTTGTTCATTTTGCTCTACTGAATTATCATCATTTCTTGTTCTTCTCCCCCTTCCTTTCCATCTCCTTCTCTGTACCATAGTCCGTTCATTTAGCCCCTGTCTTTCTCTTCTTTCTTTCAATTACCAAGCTATCTGACCTCACTGCTTCCTCACTTCTCCCTTTCTGCTCTCGAAAGAGAGCTCTCGAGAGAAGCTTGGAGCTTGGATATCACTTGGGAGGTCGCCTTTCATTGCGGCGAGCTGACAGAAATGTCCACCCCCAACGATCTCCAGGCTCTCCTGGCGAGCATCAGACCACGTCCATCTCCTTCGGGAATGCCTGCTCAGGACGCTCCCATGTCGCAGTACCCTATGCATTACCAGCAAGGCTACCGTCCCCAGCAGCCGCAGCCGCAGCCGCAACCCTACGATGGGCAGAGCTTGTCTCACCCTCAGTTGTCGCAGCATGGCTACCGTCACCCTTCGGTCTCCTCTGCCATTCACAGCCCGTCCCTGGTCAATACACCGCCTCATCATGGCTCGGATATCCTCAGTCCTAATATTACCACTCCTCGTGGCGAAATGTTCCCGCAGCAGTCTCAACCTCAGAACCCCGACCGTGCTGTCAACCTGCTGAACTTGCTCAAGTTTAATCAGGGCACTGCAGCTGCTCCGGCTCAACAGCAGCCTACTGCTGTTGGAATGGAGCAGGCAAGGTCTCCTCTGGCCCAGGAAACTGGCTTTGAGGGCGTGTCTAGGTCTCACGCGAGGAACATCTCGGCCTCTGATCTGGTTGCTTCCTTGTTCAGTCGACAGGGTCAAGCTCCAATTTCGGCTGTAACCCCGCCCGTCATGCCTACAGCTTCGCAGTTCGCTCAACCTGGTCATCCCGGGGTCGGTGAGAGCTCTTCGTCGGCTGCCCCTACTGCTGAAAACACGCAGGAGATGCTGCTTCGTTTGCTCAACCGACCATCCCCGAGCCAGGACGTGTCCCACGGGCCCGGGAAGACGGTGTTTCAGCCAGCAGCGTCAGTCTCTCCAGCCAAGTCCCCTGTCGCTGAGCCGATCGCACAATCGTCAATTGAAGTGCCCGGAGCTCGTCCTGAGGAAATTGTGTGTGGGAAGCCGGACATAATATCTCAACCGCCCAAGACAACTCTGCCGCACAGGGAAGGCATCTTCACTTACACTAACCCCTTTGAGCAACTGGCAGCTGCATCACCACGCAAGGCCTCTCCTCAGATCAAGTCTCGGAGTGCTAGCCCCGCTGTCGAGCTCACCCAGAGCCAGAAGATCAACGTAACTGCAACCGTGGATGCCGCTCCCGTGTCTCAGCCAGCAGCCATGTCTGCCGAGGAACGCCCGTCATCGCCAATTCTTGACGAAGAGCAACGCGAGGCTGTTAACCAGGTAGTTGGCAAACTGGTGGATCAGATAGTTAAATGCGACGTCGCTGAAGTTATTAGCAAGACGACCAAGGAAGAGGAGGCGTCGCCAGTATCGACGGACAAGGAAGAAAGCACTCAAGCGGTTATCTCCTCCATCGCTAGTCACCTTCGTGACACAGCTGCTGAAGCCAAGAAGGCTGCAAAGATCGAAGCAGCGGCCGTCCAAGACGCCGCGGCAGAGAGTGCTGCAGCTATCAACGAGACTACTAATGGCGAAAGTGGCGAAGCTCTTGCAGACAGTTGGGAGAGCGCCGAGGACAGCGCTGCGAAGGAGGAAGAGCGCGTTGTTCCTGTGTACAACTTTCCTCTCAAGCCGTTCATTTCCATCTCTCTTAAGGATAACACTCATGATCTTCCTACCATTCGGGATGACGGCATCATGGACATCGCCCGGTTGAAGAAGGAGTTCGATCAACTGGACCGCTCCTTAACCTCGGCCACCTCGGACTACATCGTTTACGCTCTAGCGAAAAATGGAGGCATGAGGATCATTCGTCAGGAGGATGGAAGTGACAAGCAAGTCTTCCGTTCAACCCGCGACCGTGTGTTCAATGTCACTCTCTGCACCTCGGCCACAACGAGCGGCGTCTCCGAGGAGCAAGCCATCTTGGGCATTGGTGTCAGCGGCACGGTGTACTGGGCTTTGATCTCGCGCGGAGAGAAGGATCTGTTCGAGCTGGATGCCTTGGAGAGTGAGAGCCTGATATTCCCGCCGTTTCCGGCTTCTGATGAGAACACTTCTGGTGGCCAGCTGAAAACGCGGGCCAAGAGAAGCTCTCGTCATCCCGGCTTCTTCGCCATCGGGCGTGGCAAGAATATCTACATCGTCTGTCCTCAGGCGGCTGCCAATGTGAACTACGGTGTCTCGGGGTCTCAACGCACCGTCAACACGGAGAAGTTTTTCAAGGAACGGGCCCTCAAGATTTCGACTGGCAAGGCTGGCAAGGACTTCATGTTCAGTGACGATGATACTGTCATTGCTTCCCTAGACAAGACAGGCAGGCTACGTTTCTGGGATATTCGCGAAGTGGTCAACAATCCCGATTTCTTCACGAACATGCCCAATCCGGCTGAGGTTCGCGTACCATTGAACACCTTTGTTACCGGATCTCCCACCGAGAAGTCTTGGCCCACCTCTGTTCTCTTCATCGATAAGCTGCGTCCTTACGTCAAATCGATGGCCCTTCGTTACGTTCTGGTGGGACTTAAGCAAAATCACACCTTGCAGCTCTGGGATATTGGGCTTGGCAAGGCCGTGCAGGAGCTCAAGTTTCCCCACGAGAACGAATCGGATGCCATCTGCAGTGTCGCCTACCACGCAGCCTCTGGCATCATTGTGGTCGGACATCCTACGCGCAATTCCATCTACTTTGTTCACCTGTCCGCTCCTAGATATAATCTACAGCCGATGTCGCAGGCATCTTTCATCAAGCGCTCGGGTGAGAAGGACTCGAGCTTGCCCAAGCCAGAATCTACCGCATGCATGAGTGGCATTCGGGAGATTTCGTTTGCCTCAAAGGGCCAGTTGCGCAGCTTGGATCTTCTCCCTACCACTAAGGCGCCTGGAGATAGCAAAGAAGACAATGGGCTCTTCGAGCTTTACGTGATGCACTCGCGTGGAGTGACTTGCCTGAACATCAAGAAAGAAGACCTGGGATGGAGCGCCGACAATAAGATTATCCGCCCTGTGAATGCGCTGGAGGAAGGCTTCATCGAAATTTCTGAGCTTCAGACCTTCCCCAGCTACATCACCGATGAGCCTTCCATCAATGGCGATTCGGCTTCCGCTTCCACCAGAGCTACGCCGAGGGAAGTGGCCAAGAAGA